ATATTCATTTTTTCCTTTTTTTTTGCTTCTTTCTCTCCTCTCTTTTTTTTCTTCTTTCCTTTTCCTATTATTCTTAGTATCCGCATCACTTTCATTTATACACATCAAAAACATCACGCAAAACCCCCCTATCCCTCCCTTTTCTTTTTTTTTTTTCATCCTACCCACAATTCTCTTTTAAACACAAGTGACAATTACTTGAAATCAGTGCGCGCCTAAAGCTTCAGTGCCGTTTAACAGTTTACATTTCGTTATTGGTCACCTTGAGAAAAGTTTCCCGGAGAGCGTCTTGTAAAGCTCTGAGATGGGACAAAGTTACTACGATTTGCAGATTTTGCATCGTCCAGTACCGTATCAGTTTATTATATAGACACGAGTGTATACCACTCGTAAAATTCATAAAAACTACATCCAGGACCCGAGTGGTTTATTTTCCATAATCTCACACGTGAGTTTATCGGTGACGTAATTTCGGTAATTCCCCTCCAAAATTTGTCGGCGTCTTGCGTCCTTTTGAATTTTAATTACACATTTTTCAAAGCTTTGCTTATATCTCGTGGCAAAAACAATATTTTACACACTCGCTGCGCTCGTTCGTAAAATATTGTTTTGCCACTCGAAAATAAAATTCATATCTTCGCGCCACCGTGTAATATCCTCTATATATTCTCGTTTCATTTTGCTAGCTTTTTGCTGAACCGATTAATCACCCAGATCCGGGCTGAGACAGAAAGGCACGGTATGGTTCGCTTTTCTAAGGTGACCACTAAGTCTTTGGCCTCGGGAACAGGCTCTTAGGAGTCAAATGAATTAGGTGAGAACAAAATTGCCGGTGAACTTTTACCCAGGCCAAGACTAAAGTTTTTCTGGTGTGAAGTCAGGGTCTACACTGGTCTGCCGACCGTTCGCCTCCACATCCGGGAACTTGAATAAGACGAGTGTAAGAGAAAAGTCCGGAGGTGTGTATCTGCCAATAGGCTGAGTTTTATTATTAAGTTATTCGATGATCTGTGCCTTGTGTTAAACGTCAGAAGATTATGCGTGGCTGTGGATAATCTTATCAGTGCCGCGAAAGTGTGTGATTGTGTGATTTCCGCATGGTGTTGATAGGTATGTGGTCGCGTGGTTGAGCTGTTTCGCTAACATATTTTTTTACCAGCCATAAAAGCGTTTCTTCGGTGTTTAGGTTAGCTGATTGTACCTTGGAAAAGCAACTCTCGACCCAGGAAATTGGATCTACAATTGTAGGTCTAGTTTCAGGGGGCTTTAATAGCTTTGAACCAAAAGACCGGTTTTTGCAGATACGAAGGTGATAATTTGTGTAGTATGTTTCATTCAGTTTGTTGTCTATTGCATACGAAACCCTGTCATTTAACGGACAGCGAAAAAAGTAGTGTTTTGCTAACTATTTAAGTTGTTATGTAAGGAGGCACCTTTTCGCTGCAGTTCACTCAAATTTCTAGACTTAAATGACACCAGCTTGAAAGTTCATGGAGTCAGATTACTGAATAAATTTTCTAAGATTTGCGTCATTTTAAATTTGGACACGTTGAAATACTTCTAGTAACTACTAAGTTACTGCCCGGAGTCAGATAAAGGCTTTTAAACGGCCTTTGAATGAAGTTTTTTGTTTTAAACTACCAAGTAGTACTTAGAATGAGTTAACGTTGATTTTTTTGCTAACCTGGTTTCAAAAATCCAGATATATATATCTGACTAGAGAAAAGATGGCAGGCGTTTTTACTAAAATGTGTTCGGATTTATAACCGAGCCCAATAAGTAACTGAAAAACAACAAATTTTACACGTCCAGTGCGCTTTTCTTATGAGGAGACACAAATCGCCTGAACTGTAAGTATCCTGGAGAGTCCCATACAATTTACTGTAACGACGTTACAGTAAATTGTATGGGACTTTTGGAGCACCTCAAGCAGTATCCGAGGGAGGCGTCATAATCCTTTTCTTATGACACTGATTTGAAAAATTCATTATAGTTCAAATTCAAATTCTTTACGAGCTTATTTTCCGTGAATTGTCGTATGTCTAGGCTGGGTCTCTCTATAAATGGCGAGCGTCGCGTTGGTCTCAAGTGGTTTAAGGCCTGGGACTAAGGGGTTCACCTAAGGGTCTGGATGGGGTTAACTGACAACTGACAAAAGGCCAAAATTTCACTGACAACTGACAAAGAGCATAAAATTTAACCGACAACTGACATTTACCCTGGGTTTAACTGACAATTCTACAAAACCCGTTTTTAAGGCCTTAAATAGCATTGTTCCACCCTTTTCGTCAGACGTTGTGATCAAATGTGCGTTTTTATGAGTAATCTTAGCAGAAGGACGCTTAAGTGTCATATTTTGTTAATGATTTACTGTAAAAACCCCTGTGTGTCATGACCCCTGTGTGTCATGACCTATGATCTCAAATTTACGCTCCTCTGAGAACGCGCCAGCATACGATGGCTTCTATTGAGGGCGTTACAAAAGCAATTGCAAGCCTTTTGAAGATTCAGATATGGTCTTTCTTGGTCTTTTGTTACGATCTACGGCCCAGTATTATACCTGCCAACTTTTTTCGAGTCAAGTGCGTGAGATTTTCATCTTGTCTTGACCGGGATTTCCGGAAACGTCACCGCGTCTTCAGAAGATTTCCGACGACTTTCCTAAGACTTAATTTCCAACCGCTGCCGAAAATGTACGCAGATTGATCACTTATGAAGCTACTTAAAAGACGACAATTTTGGCGTGCTTTGATTTCGTTAGAACACAAAAAAGGACGCGAAGTCATCATTTAACGCATTTTTGGATTGAATTTTTATCATTCATCATGTGTTAAAGAACAATTTGTCCGGATTTGTGAGTCAGGCGAGAGAAATTGTCCTAGATGCGTGATATCGATGCATGCATAATGCGTGAGAGTTGGCAGGTATAAAATATTCTGAAGGTATAACTTTTGATTGGCTTAATAGTTGGAAATGCTGGACTCTGGCCAGCAAAAACGTTCGAGTGGAGGAGCGTAACACAAGACTTGAGAAATGGAGGGTCGCTTGAAATGCTGTGGAAAATGAATAACTGGCTATAACTTTGGCATAGGCGATGGCGCTGAATCAAAATTTGGCACACATAAAGAACTTATCGTCCTTCACATTTTATAGTATAAATATTGTTTTAAAAAAACACTTGATATATCACGTGACCATTTAGGTAAAAATCGTAAATTATTGACCACTTGGTGGCCGGTTTAAGAAAAGAGATTGTGCCATAACGTTTTTCTAATTCATTCATTTGAGTTATTTGGAACTTTTTTTATTAAACAATTTATCATGACTATTGAAAATATAAGGTTTGAAAAATATTTACGTTTAATTTGAATTCAAACATACAAAAATTTGTCAATTCTTACGGAAGGTATTTGCTAAACACCACGCTTTAAGTTCCTGGTGTCGGATTTTCAGTAGCAGGTCTAGAACGCGCGAAATTCGGCTTTTATTATCATTTCAATTTTTTTTTTCTGTTGTGGTCATGGTGATATCGGTTTTTACTTAAAACTACATTTTGACAAACTTCAATCCAATCAATTAGTCAGTGGTGAAAAAGCATGAAAATTTCATAGCGATCGGATGAGGATAAAATTACTTTTCAGGCGAATGAAAAATATCGGCATGGTCTCCAAAAAACTGTATCGAAACACCTTAATTAAGTAACATTATTTTTAGGAAAGCACGCGTCTAGTTATAGAGATTTGCGAACTGCAAAACACAACTGAAATAGACAATTATAGCACACTGAGTGAATGAGTGGTCCCAATTTTGATGATTAAACAAAAGTGGATGTTTTCGAGAATGTTATTAATATTGAAATGAATCCCAAAAGGGAACCACCTGTCTAGTAATCAGCAAGATTGGTAACTGTCAACAGAGTATTCAATAAATTTGTTTACTTGCCGGATTTTTGATGTCTGTTAATTTCACCTCTTCATGAAGTCTTTATGGTAAAACAAAGTGGCAGCTGCCTGTAGCTTTCATTTCAGTTGAATGTATCAGAGATGGCGGCGTTATTTACTTGTACCTTATTTCTGGTTACAAGTCTGCCTAAAGCGTCCCCTGTTCTGGTTGAACAGAAAAGCGCTGTTAGCCGTCAATACAAAGAATTCCTCTCTTATGCCAAGTTCATAAAGCATTCAAACCATTCCTTAAGAGCTGTCGAAAAAATTGCTTCGTTTTTTGTCGAGAAACAGTCGGAGTGCCCTTTCAGCTGTGTCAATGAACCGAGGTGTTATTCATGCAACACAGCCTCATATCCAGACTTAGCAGGCTCTTATTTGTGTGAACTATTGGCCACTGACAAATACAGAGCTGAAACAAAGTTCCAACCCAATTCGTCATTTCATCATTACAGCCTTGGGGTAAGTGTAGTTGCAACTACTCGGTTCAGTTTTTTTTTTCCTGTATTTGTAAATTTTAACTACAAGAGAGCTCCTACGCCGGACTCAAACTAGCAGAGGTGAATCATATTAGTTTAATAACTGACTATTCAGTTTTGGTACTGCCAACAAGCGTCCAGTCGGTTCTCTCTTTTATATTTACTTTTCCTGATAAATAAAATATCAACTTCATTATAAAACGGCAGATTTTAGTCAAAGGCCTTGATCTAGTTTCTATTTTTGTGTTTTGGCAGTCGAAAGGACATAGTGCGATGCCCCCCGGATGCCCCAAAGGCCCATGTCTAGTTGTGGGTGATTAACTATGTTCGATAGGCCTTAGGACCGAACTCAATAATTAAAAAAAATTAATTATGGTATATGTTTTTTTTCTCCTAAATTTTAAATGTGCCAGCGTTTCAAAATTCTGTTTAGGTTTTGTTTCTGCTTATTAGGTCTCATTTTATTCAGGACCCTTGTCAAGAAGAACGTTGTGGAAACAATGGTGACTGTATTCCTGACTTTGAAAACTATTTTTATAGCTGTGATTGTCATCCGGGGTTTGCAGGGAAGCACTGCGAGCGAAGAGGTGCGTCAGTCACACCAGTTTGAACATATAGATTGAATAATTAATGCCGATTCCTCGTCTAAATCCAAAGCTTCCAGTTAAATCTAACAACACTGTTGAAATACATACTGACATAATAAATAGATTGAGCACTGGATAAAAGCGAATCAAGCCTCCGTTTACATACTTAAAATAAGTACGGTTGACTACCCATGGGCAAATGGCTGTTGCCCACGGGGAGACAAAATTTCGCGTGCGACTGTTTTTCTCTAGGAGAAATTGCCAGAAATATCCATGAAAACTTCCGAAGGAAGCTTTTTCGGCTCAAGTAATCACGAGAAAGTGAAATGTATTTGAAAAGTAAGAGTAACAATTCCAACTAATAATTTCAAACACTGGATTCTGGATTCTTTGTCAATGGAACTTGGATTCCGGATTCCACGAGCAAAATTTTTCCCGGATTTCGGAATCCAGATTCCCTTACATAGGACGAATGTTTCCTGTGGTCTAGCTATTATCGTTAAGTTTTTAGAGACAGCTGTATACGACTGGCCATTGGCAGACTAACTGTATATGGTGATTATTGTTGGTTTGATCGTTTGTTTGTTTGGTTGTTGTTGTTATTGTTTTTTCACACTTTCTGTTCTAGGAGAAAACCTGCTCATCAATATGCTCAGGACTTAACGCAAAGCTAATTGTCCTATTATGTATTTCTCTTTCCCATTTAGGTAAAACCTGCAGCGAAATAAAATCTCGTAGCACTCAAGCCCCAAGTGGTTCTTACGTCATTGATCCCGACGGCGATGGAGGATACAGTTCCTTCAGCGTCTACTGTGACATGATAGACAACAATGGAGTTGGTGTGACTATACTTAGTCACGACAGTGAAGATAGAACTCTGGTAGATGGTTTCGAGGAAAAGGGAAGTTATGTGCGAAATGTTTATTACATCGGGGCAGGAGTGAGCAGTGTCGCGCAAATGTCTGGCATTCCGATGGTCTCTGCATATTGCGAGCACTTTATCAAATACGAGTGTAAAGGCAGTCTGCTTTTCCGCTCAGCACCAGCAGGCTGGTGGGTATCACGTGACAGCGTTCAGATGTTGTATTGGGGTGGAGCCTCTCCAGATGATTTCCAAAAGTGCGCATGCGGGGCTGCAACCCCAAACACGTGTAGATACCTCATATAGCTGCAACTGTGATGCAAATATTGGCAGTTCCTGGCATGAGGATAGTGGGAAACTCACTGACAAAAATCATCTTCCTGTGATACAATTAAGGTTTGGGGATACCGAAAGTGGTGAGGCTGGCTATCATACGCTTGGGAAACTAAGGTGTTATGGAATGGCGTAGGCTATAAAAACAGTAATGACGATCATGGCATCTCCTATCACATATTTTTTTTTATTATTTTCATTTTTCATTTTGTCTAGACATTTTTATTATTTGCCTTGTTCTTCCTGCTTCCAAAGACGTAAAGGTAAATGTTGCCACATCTCGCTAAACCTGATGTAAATTCTCTTCAGCTTAAGTAGATGGCTTTCAGCAAAGAAATTTCTCTGCACTTTTTCTTTAGTAGTTTTACTAACTAAAAGCTAAAAGCTATCAAGGCAATCACTCTTTTTAATTCTCTTAGATCTGTTATACCACTGCCCTGTCAAAAGGAGATAAGTTATGGAGGCGCAAGTAACCGTTGAAACAAAGAGTTAAAAGCGTCATCAAAGTTTCAGGTCCTTTTCATCCAAGCAGGCTGATTGCATTTAATTGTTTTTGCCATTCCGTAGACGCTGTGTTAGAGAAAAAAAACAAATCATAATCATAATAAAAATCATCTAGAGTCGTCGGATCTACTTTGCTCTTCTTTCAATCATGATAAATAGTGCTAATCAGCAGCTTGAATTGGGATATAGATTAGACTCTTGTACATACAAATCACTAGAGATTTGCCCCTTTTTGGAGCAAAACAAACCAACGACGCGAAAGATTAACCTTGAAAAGGGTGGACTACAACAAAGCGTGATTGTAGCGGCTCAAAGACTGAGGCGTAAACACCTGTTAAGATCCGACAGTTCATAGTATTAAAGAATCATTTTTCACGGTCATTTTATAATTTTAATCCTAGTGGTATGTAAATCTTCATCAGAGGCCTTTTTCTCGGCAAGGATAAGTGGAGTTATAAATGCCATTGTCGACTTCCGCCCTATATATAAACTTTTTCCTTCTTTTCTACCCTAGGGTCAGGCTTCTGGGTTAGGAAAAGAAGTGAACGAGGGAAAAGTCGGGTCGCTTTGTGTGTCGATTTATTTTTCGCTCTTCACACTTTTTCTTCACAAGGGATTGTGCTCCTCTTTATCAAGAAACAGACTGGCAATGTTGAAGCCGAAACTACACGTTAGAAATCAGATGCATATAATCACTAGTTCGTCCTTGGTGACATTTCCTTGCCAACATGTGTAGATACTACAGAAAGAAAGTTTAATCAGGCCTTTTCAAATTTATCCCAGGCCTTTAATTATTTAAAGTAAGATTATGAAGTATTTGGGGGGGGTTTCCGAGACTAAAATATTTTTCGTTTTAGCACCAAATAATAACACATTGCAGTAACCCCCCCCCCCCCCCCCTCCAAACGGTGTAATCTAAAAGAGTGACTAAAATGATTAATACGGTTATATGAGATTTTTTTTAGGGACCCTTGTGTACAGCACTCTTTGATGTTAGCCTCCTCGTTAAAAAATTAATTACATTTGACTATGTATTTTTTGTCTTATTCTTGATTGCCTTTTGGTCTGTTTTCTATAAACATTCCAAAAAGGTGAGTAATTAAAAATAACAAGATTCGCTGACCTCATAAAGCCGGGTGTTTGATTACCGTACTGAAAATAGACATGAATTCAACTGCAAAAACATGGCTGTAACCATTTTAAATGTTCTGATAAGCATATCCCTTCTGTACAACGCTGTTGCAACCTTCCCGAAAGCCAACCTTTATCGGGACTTAAAGCGCCAAACTGCCTTTGGGAATTTTCAACTAGACCAACACCAGAAGTTGGTAGGAACTACGATCGCCTCTTCCCTTGTTTCAGACATAATTGACTGCACGGTCAACTGTGTAAGCGAGACCTTGTGCAAATCGTTTAACATCGCGGCCAGTCCTGACTCTGAAAATCTTTATTTGTGCGAATTGCTAGACATCGACAAACATAGAGTTTCTATAGATGATCTTCAAGTGAACCTCGCTTTTAATCATTACAGCCCTTGGGTAAGTTGAATGTTTTAGTTTTTCTTATATGCTATATTGTAAAGTTGATTAACTCAAACCTGCAAATGAACGTGTAAACAATGATGGCTTCTAGAATGAAGAACTTGAAAGAGATCTATTACGAATACTTTTTGTAATTTAGGATCTAAATCAGTATATCAGCAATTCTCTTTCACGTTGATGAAATTAGCCTACTGTTATTCCTTTGTCCCTATTTATTGTAAAGAAACTTGCTTAATTTCACATTGTTTTATTGGTTTGACTCAATGCTCTCCTCGCGGTTCCTTAATTAAATAGTTGTGATGATAATTTTTTTGGAGACTTTACCATGCAAATTAACCGACTGAAAACTGCAGCTTTACTCAAATCCAGTGGCGCCACTATCAAAAAAGCGACGCAGTTAAGAGCCCGAAAAAAAAAAACGCAGTAAATACAAGAATGCACTGTTGGAACGCTTCACCTTAAAAATAAGCGGTCTCAGCCTTTATGATCAATGTTTTTTCATCAAGTGTTTGGCCACATACAACAAACCATTTCTAAACTAGTACTGTTGAAGAAGGCCTAATGTTCGAAAAGTTGAGAAAGATGTTTATCCAGTCAGTGACATAGGTTCGATTCCCACTGGGAAGAACTCGGATTTTTCACTTCTTCCGACAGAGCCACCTTGTCATTCATGCCAGATTCACCAGGCTTAAAACTCACCATCGCTTTTCTATCTTTGCTCAAAAAATTCTACTGTTTATTTCATAACTGCACTCAGGTAAAACCAAAACTTACATGTGCAAAAGTTGATAGAGTGCAGTCGCTAACTTTGTTTTTACCTCGTTTACCCATAGTATCCGTGCCAGCCAGGATTAGTTGGATTTAACTGCGATCGTCAAGGTAAAGCATCGGAGATCGGAGAATTCTCCGTCTACTACGCATAATACTACGGCTAAATTTCAATGAAGTTATGGCCATTTTTTTATTCAGACGAGTCAAACGTGGATACGATAAGTAAAAAGAAATTATTCCCAGAAATGCGTAATTTTAGCGCCTACCAAATGATTTACATTCCTAAATAGATAACAAATACATAAAAGACCTTATCTAAATGCTAGCAGTTTTAAGCCCAATAAAACTAACAAGGGACGTGTAAAATATGAGACGGTTTTCTGAAGTGTGGACAGTTGACTGTATGCTCGACGCTTTTTTGTTTGCACGCGAAAAACTATTAAACGAATAAATACTAATGGAACAAAACGTGAAACAAATTAAAATAAAGCGCATGATGAACAAATCAGAGTGGTAATTAAAGTTACGACAAGAAAAGTTAAATGGATCAGGTACCTTTATGAATAAAAAGAACTATTTCTTTTTGAACTGCTATGGAAATAAATTTGGCGATGTTTACCGTATATAAATGACAAATTATCAAATTACTATGAAGCTAATGAGAATTTGAGATTTTTCTATTTTAACGATGACTTCTAAAACGGCACGTTATAAATTGTAACTGCAGAGGAAACAAAGAAGAAATATTCAAAATAGTTTTATTACGAGAGTAGTCGGCATTTAACTGTCTTCCCGAAATCTTATATTTATTTAATTATTATGCCAAGCATTGAAAACTGGGCACTGTAATTAAAGGCAATACATGTAGCATTCTGGAAGATGAAAGTCGTCGTGACGGGTACGGCAACATTGACGTTACCATGGAAACCGAATATTGACAGCCATGTTTTAAAAATTTGCATTTTTTCTTTAAAAAGGATTAACTATACTGGTTTTAAGTAAAAATGAAATAGAATTCATTTATTAAACAGGGGCGGATCTAGGGGGAGGGTGCAGGGGGTGCGCCCCCCCTCCCCCCTAAGATGACCTGCGGTTTTCTAATACAACTGGTATTCTGCAAAAAAAACTATGTGGTTTATTGGTGTTGAAGTAGAGCAAGGGACGAGTGCACCCCCTCCTGAAAAAAATCCTGGATCCGCCCCTGTTCAAAATGGCGAATCCAAGATGACGGAAGATTCTAGTTCCTTCTTTAAAAATTAATGACGTCATCATGACATGCCTGCTATTAGTAAAGATTATTAACGTCTTAGCGAACCTCTTTATTTTGATTATTTTTCCCTTTAAGGGGAAAAATTGGTGGAATTTGGATTCCGTCAGTAAAGTTAACAATATCACTAGCACTATCAGCATTATGGTGCTCTCCTCGTCAAAGTTACTTTACGCTCTTTCTTTCCATCACTAACAACAGTGATGAACTTCGAAAAATGAACGGAAAAACAGGTTTAAGAAGACAGCTATAATTTGTTTCAGTCGTTTTATTTATGAACATCCTCTCCCCCTTCTTTTGGACTTTCTGCCCCAAATTCGTTCACTGTTTGATTATTATCACTTTTGTCCATTAAGGAAAAACATGCAGTGAAATAAAATCGCACAGTCCACAAGCCACAAGTGGTTCCTACGTTATTGATCCTGATGGTGAAGGAGGCTACCAACCCTTCNTTTGATTATTATCACTTTTGTCCATTAAGGAAAAACATGCAGTGAAATAAAATCGCACAGTCCACAAGCCACAAGTGGTTCCTACGTTATTGATCCTGATGGTGAAGGAGGCTACCAACCCTTCAGCGTCTTCTGTGACATGATTGACAAGAACGGAGTTGGCGTGACAGTCGTTGGTCATGACAGTGAAGATAGAATTTTGGTGAACGGATATGAAGACGCAGGAAGCTATGTTCGTAATGTTGTTTACGTAGGAGCCGGTGTTACTCAGTTAGCTACCCTTGCAACTATCTCAACACATTGTGAGCAGTTTATAAAATACAAATGTTACCACTCCCTGTTTTTAACTAATGGAATGGGCTGGTGGGTGTCACGTGACAACGTAAAAATGACGTACTGGGGTGGAGCTTCGCCGAGTGATTCAAAAAAATGTGCATGTGGGGTGACAAATTCATGTGCAGACAGTAGTAAAGGGTGCAACTGCGATAAAAATGATGCAGTATGGCGCGAGGACAGCGGCCTTCTTACTGAAAAGTCTCACCTTCCCGTCACACAATTAAGGTTTGGAGATACAGGCCATTCAGGTGAATACGGTTACCACACTCTAGGAAAGTTCAAATGTTATGGTATGACGTAAATTTACCTGTCATTAGACAGAAATACTCACCGCAGAAATCGTAACCTGTAAATTGCTGCTACTAAAGAGAGCTAAAATTTCATTTTTTTTTCAATTCTGGTTTGTTTGCAGGATATTTTTTCTTAATCATTTAGCCCCTCCCTCTAAAGGTAAACTGATGCCGAAAGCTCCTTATTTCTTTTTTTTTGGGGGCTTAGAGTTCAATCCATGTTATTAGTTAAAATTTGATTGCTTTCATCGTAATTATAGAATCGGACGCTTCGCTTTTAGCCCTGGCTAAATCTATATATTGAACTTTGTTCTACTATTCAATCAAAATAATTCCAAGCTCATAACACCCTAACCTGTTTGTAGAAGTTCTGCGGATGTTTTCCAGTTTCTCTGCAGTTTCGAGAGCATTTTTGTATGTTGAGGAGGATGAAAGAAATGAATGTAGACGAAAATTTTGGATGTCTCTGTACGTGGATAAAAAAAAATTCCAGCGACTGCAAAATCTATTTTGCAAAGTCTTAAGATGTCTGGTAACACCGGCTGGTCATTAAAGACATACTAAATAATCTGCTACAATTGCAACTGATTCATGGCTCATGAGGGATATAAACAAATAAATAGCACTGAGGTTCACCGATAAATTTTTTTTTTTCTTTTGATTTATTCCCCTCAATGGCCTTAGGGCCAAGTGTCGATGTTGATAATTCGAAACTGACCTACACTGTATTTGCATCAATGATTTTGATGAAACTTTTACCACAGGGAATCAATTTCAGCAAATCACAGATTCAAACAAAATATTCTAGATTCGTGTCTTCCTTATTAAATAAACCTTGGGTACTACATCGCTGAAAAAAAAAAATTGTTTTGTTCTCAAAAAAATCCAACTAAATGTGTGGAAAAAAATCGCTGTTTTCTCTTGGCGGTTTTGCACAGGTTAGCGAGCCATGCCCCTCCCTTCACATTCAATTTTCCGTGTTTGAATCTTTCGATGAAGTTACGTGGAGAGAATTATTAGAAAGCTGGTATGTGATTTTTTTATATATATAGTTGCTTTTTTATCTCAAAAGCAGAAGCAGTCCCTATATTTAATGACAATTAAACTTGACGGAATGTCTTTGTGTTTCTTCTCATTGCGGAAGTCGTTTTATAATGGATGGTATTCTAAATCAGGGACGTAGCCGGGACTTTTTCAGAGGTACGCACAATTCTCCAAACCCCCCTTCCCACCCCCTCTTCCCACTTCAAAATCACAAATCTCTGCCTTTATTAAAGGTGAGGTTAATTTGTAAACATGTGGGTTTTAACTGTATGTAAAATGACGTAAGTACGATATGAAATCCTTTTTCGTTGGGTTCATTGACTAAAGCCACTCAGTTGCTTATTATAGATTAAGCCAATTTAATTTGAATACCACGAGCTACTATTACCTCAAAAGAGTCATCAAGCGTCGTACAGCCCATTGCTCCAGAAATCAAATATTTCAAGAAAAAAAAAGAAGAAGAAAGAAAAAGAAAAGAAAAGAATCAAGCAGAGTTAAATGAATTGAGGTAGACTGTGCTTATTTAAAAACACTTTGATTTTCTATTATTCGCTTTTTCAATTTTTCAATTCATATTTTATGCAAATTTATTTTTAAGACTTTTTTCAGGTACGCAAATGCGTTTCGTGCTTACTGCGTACAGGTAGCCACGCCCCTGTAAATAGCGAGGTAGGATGGCCTACATTTAGTCTGTGATGGGCGGTTAGCCAAGACGGGTGCGACTAAATGCGTGCAATAGACGGTGACTTTGAATTATGCCAGTAGGAACTGCTGTTTTACCAATACTTGCATTCTGTAATTAATTTTTGTACCATTTGTTTATCTCTTTTCTTCCCTTTTTAAAGCGTTCTAATTATTTTAACATGAAACAATTAAATGCTAAATTTTGCTGGCTTTTGCAATATTGTATTATTGCTTTCACCCAGTCATGCAAATAAACATTGTTGTTGCTGTTATTGCTGGTGTTGTTGTTGTTGTTGTTGTTGTTGTTGTTGTAATTTTGCACATACCTTAGCCACACTACACAAATAAATTCTACTGAGCCCGCGAAACTGCGGTCAACACTAAATTGTTTTCACGGTATTTATCGACATTTTAAGGTTTCTATCCGTTTTTGATTTGAAACAGATAGAGAAAATATATTGCTGTCAAGTACACAGTGCCATACACAATATTTTAAAAGATATTAACATTCTGGTGACATTTTTCCCTGTGGAGAATTGTTAAATCAGTCGTTAAAGACACTTTTATTTATAGTGTAAAAGCAAAATAGCATACACGTTCAACAAAGAACAAGTACATTGATTATATATTGGCACAAACTGCCATGACTACGCATGAGGTCTCTTCCCAGGGAAGACTCTGGGGACATCAAATCTCGACCGCAGAAATCCTGCGGTTCCGGTTGTTCTGCGCATGCCTTGGATCAAATTTTGTCATCGCGCATCGGGCTTGCGTCATTATCGTGCATAATCGGAGACCATAGAGTCTGAATTCCATTAATGGTGTATAGGTCGCGCCTTCACCCTGTTCTTTCGGTGAGTTTCCAGGGGACTGGGGATGTAATGGAGGCGCTGACCCGGAAAAGAGTTGACCGCCACCGTTTGAAGCGGGAACATTCGCCTCAGAAATTAATGCGTTTTCAGCTAGAATGTGGGGAAGAAACATAGCTTGCCTCCGGCAAGTTCACGACAACTTGCCTAAAAATAGTCGATTCCTTATTTCACAGACTACAGACGGCAGATTGCAGACCGGATATGAGCACAATGCATTTTTTGCGAACCGGTCTTTGATCGTGCATGGAGCAGGGTCCTACACGAAGTTAGTAACTTATGAGTGCGTTTTGTTTTGCTCACGCTTACAAAAAAAATAATGGCGCATTTATCGTGCTTAAAATTGCGCTTTCATCATGCATTAAAATCTTGCCATTTGTTGTGCTTAACGATGTGCCTATAAATGGTGCCCTCATTGTGTTTAAATGGTGCACCAAAGACAAAGGCACGATGCACGAAATGATAAAGAACGATGATCGCGAGCCCTGATGCACGTTTATGTATCGTGCATTGGCAATTTTAAAATTAAACATTACGTTAATTCCAACGCTAAAAAGTTGTAGCTTATCTATAAATAACTCTGAAAAATCATCGATCAATTTTTAAGTTTAGAGGAAACTTTTGGTATATGTGCATCTCTAAACTTTGTCAATTCTAGTCGATACATTTTTATTGTAGAGGTATGTGAGATCGAAACTTTATAATTTTTAGTGAAAGGCAGGGCAACATGGCATCTATTAAGTGCAATGAATTTTGTTGACAACTGATTTATATCTTCAGACGAAAGCTTTATGAAGAAATTATGTACTCCCTGCAATGGACATCGATTGCATAGTAACCGTTCAGAGAATCAGCTTTTTAAATGTGAGGGAACTGTAAACGTAAGGTATATGTAGCGTTAGACTATCATTTGCAAAAAGGTGGTCACCAACATCGTGCTCATGGCCACCCCGTTAGCGTCAATGTGACATGATCGATAGGCAAGAATGGAGTTGTGGTGAACATACTCAGTCACGACAGTGAAGATAGAAAACTGGTGGACGGTTTTGAGGGAAAGGGAAGTTATGTGAAAAATGATCTTTACCTAGGGCAGGAGTGAGCAGTATCGCGCAAAATATCTGACATTTCGATTGTCTCTGCACATTGCGAGCATTTTATCAAATACGAGTGTGAAGGTAGTCTGCTTTTCCGTCCTGACGACCCAACAGGCTGGTGGGTATCAAGTAACGGCATTCAGCTGTTGTATTGGAAAGGAGGGGGGGGGGGGG